CTAAAAATAAATAAAAAATTAAAAAATATCACTGAAGCAACATTAATGTTGCACAAAATTGTCATCCCCACCAAGTTGCTGCTGACAAAGTGATCTGTTCTCTGGGCTCGATGTGGGGCCCCAACCCTGGGGAGACCCCAGAGGATGTAGATGGGGCCAGGCTCTAGCCTAAAGCACGAAAGAAACGGGGTCTGCCCAGCACAGAATATGGACCCTGGTATGGAGGAAGAGATGATAAAACCATATACAGTGGGTGTGCCTGAGCTGTGGAGGCCCCCGCCAGCCGTGGATGAGGAGGTCACCCAGGGTCATCAGAGGTTTGCATGCTCAGGAGTGATGGGAACAGCTCCCCAGGCCCCCATCCCCACCAGGGTTTGGACTTTCAGCTCTGACCTTCTGCAGGTCTTTGAGGGGCCCTTTCCAGCCAGACCCCAAAGCAGACAGGAGCTGGCACAAGAAAGCCTGCCCCTCCCTGTCCCTAAGCCAGATGCCAGTAAAACCCCAGAAGAGGAATTGGGGCACCTGAGCTGCACAGCCTACAGTCTGTGTGGTCATGGGTCAGTCACTTCACCTCTGTCTCAGTTTCTTCATCTGTAAAACAGAGATGATAATGCTAGTTTTCAAAGTTCTTGGGAGGATTAAATTAGCTAGTGAGGGGGTGGGGGTGGGTGCTTAAAAGGAGCCTAGTTAATGATAACTGACGTAATAAGGGACAAGTTGTGAAGTCCCATTCTGATCCCCCAGGTCAAGGTCAGACTCCAGAGCTATGGGATTTGGGTTTGCTTGGAGCCTGGGGCCCTCTTTTCCTATCCACAACCTCTCCAGGAAGAGAACTGACCAGGCAGGCAGCCCTGGTGTTGTGGGCCAACTGACCCACCCCCGACTCCCCATCCCTACCCCCCACTGAAAGACTGTTAAGTCTCGGGCCGGCCAAGTGGCTCAGTTGGTTAAGAGCCCCAGCCAACCATGCCAGGAAGAGAGAACCAAAAAAATGGAAGGGGGATAAGTATCTGAGAAATAACTCTCACTCAGCTGATAAATATACATCTTCAGACTGAAAAGCCCATCTAGTGCCTGACCAATGAAAAAAGAACCATACCCAAGCACATCACAACACCAAAAATGTCATTTATGACTTAAATCTTTCCAAAGGAATAGGAGGCAAAAAAAAATAGATGAAATCAGAAATGAAAGAGATGTTACAACTGATACCACAAAAATACAAAGGATCATGAGAAACAACTATGAACAATTATACACCAATGAATTTAACAATCTATAAGAAACAGATAAATTCCTAGAACATACAACCTACCCAGAGCGAACCATGAAGAAACAGGCTAATTACCAGTTAGGAGATTGAATCAGTAATCAAAACATCCCAACAAACAAAAGTCCAGGACCAGATGGCTTCACTGTTGAATTCTACCAAACATTTAAAGAATTAATACCAATCCCTTTTAAACTCCTTCAAAAAATAGAGGAGGAAGGAACTAATTTACAATTTACAATTTACAAATTACTAAACTAATTTACAATTACCGGGGTAATTGCCAGCATTACCCTGATATCCAAATCAGACTAGCACATCACAAGAAAAGAAAATTACAGGCCAATATCCCTGATAAACATAGATGCAAAAATTCTCAACAAAATATTAGCAAACCAAATTCAACAATACATTGAAAGGATCATTTACCATCATAAAGTGGGATTTATTCCAGCAATGGTTCAGTATCCTCAGAGCAATCAATATGACATGCCACATTAATAAAATGAAGGATAAAAATCATATGATCATCTTAATAGATGCATATGAAGCTTTTGACAAAATAAAAATTTATTTATTATTTTTTAAAAATCTCTCAATAAAGTGGGTATAGAGGAACAGACCTCAACAAAATAAAGGCCATATCTGACAAGCCCACAGCTAACATCATACCCAGTAGTGAAAAGCTAAAAGCTTTTCCTCTGAGATCAGGAACAAGATTGGGATGCCCATTCTCACCACTTTTATTCAGCATACAACTGGAAGTCCTAGCCAGAGCAGTTAATCAAGAAAAGGAAACAAAAGGCATCCAAGTTGGAAAAGAAAAAGTAAAACTGTCTCTATTTTCAGATGACATGATATTATATATAGAAAACCCTAAAGACTCCCAAAAACTGTTAGAGCTAATAAATGAATTCAGTGAAGTTGCAGGGTACAAAATCAATATACAAAAATCAGTTGCATTCCTATACATTAACAACAAACTATTAGAAAGAGGAATTAAGAAAACAATCTCATTTACAACTGCATCAAAAATAATAAAACAACCAAATTGTCCTTTGATAGATTATTGGATAAAGATGATGTGATACACATATACAGTGAAATACTACTCAGCAATAAAAAAGATGAAATATTGCCCTTTGTGACACAAATGGATCTTGAGAGTATTATGCTAAGTGAAATAAGTCAGACAGAAAACAACAAAAACCATATGATTTCACTCATATATGGGCTATAAAACAAACAACAACAAACAAACAAACAAACAAAACAAAAGACAAACTCATAGATATAGGCAAAAGAATGGTGGTTACCAGAGGGGAAGGATGAAGAAGGTAAAGGGGGTCAAATATATGGAAGGAAACTAGATTTTGGATGGTGAGCACACAATAGAGTACACAAATGCTGTGTTATAAAGTTGTATTCTTGAAATATATATGTTATTAACCAGTGTTACCCCATTAAATGTAGAAAAGAATAAAATATCTAGGAATAAATTTAACCAGGGCGGGCAGAGTGGCACATTGGTTAAGAGCTGGTTTGGGACACCAGCTCTGAGCAATAGGGCCCCGGTTCGGATCCCACATGAGGGCCAGTGACGCTGCGCCCTCTACAGCTAAGATGGTGAACAACAGCTCGACGTGGAGCTGGGCTACTGTGAGTGGCTGGCAGCCAGCGTGAGCAGCTGGCAGCCAGTGTGAGCTGCCAAGAGCCGCCATGAGCGGCCGTCCAGTGGCTGGCGACAGATCTGCCTCATCCAGGAAGAGCACAGTGATTGCAATACCAACAGGGGCCAGTGAAGCGACATCCTCCACAACCAGACTGAAGAACAAAAAGGACAGCAACTTGTCTGTTCCCCTCCCCCAATTCCCCAATAAAATCTTTTTAAAATAAATAAATAAATAAATAAATAAAAATAAATTTAACCAAAGAGGTGGAAGACCTGTACACTGAAAACTATAAGATGTTGATGAAAGAAATTGAAGATGACACAAATGGAAAGATATTCCGTGTTTATGGATTAGAAAATTAATATTGTTAAAACGTTCATACAAACCAAAGCAATCTACAGATTCCATGATCACAGTGAAAAATTTCCATGGTATTTTCCACAGACATAGAACAATCCTAAAATTATATGGAACCATAAAATACCCCCAAATAGCCAAAACAACTTTGAGAAAGAAGAATGAAGCTGGAGGCATCATGCTTCCTAGTTTCAACCATATTACAAAGCTATAGTAATCAAAACAGTATGGTATTGGCATAGAGCATATGACACA